ATCTTTTCCGATTCACTTTCCGTTCTTAAAACTTTAAAATCAAACTCAAACACAACTAATGATATTATTTTTAGTATCCAAGCAATACTTAAACAATTACAAGATCAAAATAAATATACACAATTCTTCTGGTCAAAGCACACGCAGGAATAACAGACAATGAAATTGCAGATCAAATTGCCAAAGAAAGTATGGTAATGGGGGAACAAATAAATTACGAACTAACTACAGACGAACAAATAACCATACAGCTTTACAAATCCAACACGTTACACCAGACTTGAAACCAAATTAAGGAGAAAACCTTGGTACAATGAGTACGATTACAGTCGAAAAAGTATAACTACTATCAGCAGAATGAAGTTTGGTCACGCATGTTATCCAGCACATTTATTTAAAATAAAAATATTTGAGAGTGATCTTTGCGAAGCCTGTAATAAAATCGGTGATCTTGACCACATCTTTTTTGATTGTTTAAAATATAGAGCTCAATCTAATGAGCTTTTCAGAAAACTTTTAAAATTAAACATTGAAAGCCCATTTAATATACTGCATCTTCTTGCTTTAGATAAAAAAGAAATTTACGATTGTTTGCTGTCTTTCGTCAGAACAACGAATATACAATATAACCACCTTTGTTAATTCCTTATGTCTTTCCTTAATGTATACATACCTATCTGTCCGAGGTCTATCTTTTATCGTTTATAAAAATGCCCTGATCGGCCCCTGGGCAAGAATTGTGTAATCCCTGTGTAATCCTTGTATCTGTTTTTTAAAAAATTTTGTGTCTGACTGTGTGGGTATTTACCCTAAAGCCAATAAAAAAAGAAACTTGCACCTTTTTCATTGTCACTTTTTACCGAAAATGGTCTGAGGAAAAACGTTAAACCTCAGTTCTACGAATTATTTGTGAGTGCAAATAGACCAACGCATTCTGACGGCATTGTGCATGTCATCGACGGTGGATTTTTACTGCAAAAAGTAATTTGGAAGAAAAATGAAACGGTGGAAGAGATCGTGAATGTAAATTTGCGCTATGTCGAAAAACATTATGCAGCAGGCAGCCATTTCGTTTTTGACGGCAATCCCGAAATTGAAAAATCAGTAACTGTGACATTTTTTGTACTTGTTAATTCATTTAAGCCATTTATTTAGTTGCACGTAATTTTTTAAAGGGGAATGAAAAAGGCCGTAACTTAATAAAAACTGTTTTTTTGGAAAAAGTGATAACAGGTAAAAAAGTTTTAAAAATAATTTTTTAAACTAATCATGCCACAAAACTCATTTAATTTGAACGTATTCAAAAGTTTGGGAGGATTTAGAGCTGCACACCCTCCTTAAAATTTTTCTGTGGGCTTAGATTTTGTTGTTTCTTTTTTATGAAAAATGCTTTCAGAACAAGAAAGTAACGTGTCCATTTTTATTACAAAATGTCAAGTAGTCAAAAAACAATTTTTATTTAGTAACTTCAAAGGGCTGTAACTTTTTTGTGTGCAATTTTGTACGAAGGTAAGTTGGATTCAATCAATTTATTTTTGTCCCCGGAATGCGTGATTTAATTTATGACATACCTTTTTGAAACACCCTGTATACCATAATGGAATTATCCGATGTCGCACTAAAAACTGACCCTGTATGTTATAAATATTTTAAAGATATGAACTTTTTAATTAATTAATTTCATCATCATCATCATCAATCAGCCAATCGCGTTCACTGCTGGACATAGGCCTCCCTCAGTTCTTTCAATGTTCTCTACACTGGGCCGCTTGTAGCCAGTTTCCCGCTACACGTTTAATGTCATCGGTCCATCTAGTCGGTGGTCGTCCTCGGCTTCTTTTATAATTTCTGGGCCTCCATTCCATAATACGTCTTGTCCACCGTCCATCTTGTGTTCTGGCTAAGTGTCCTGCCCAGTTCCACTTAAGCGTCGTGGTTCTTTCGATGACGTCTTGAACTCCTGATCTTCGCCTGATTTGTTGGTTTGTTATGTGGTCTCGAAGGCTCACGTTCAGCATTGCACGTTCCATGGCTCGTTGTGTAACTCTAAGTTTATTCGCAGATTTTTGCGTGAGTGTTAAAGTCTCTGCTCCATGAGTTTGTACAGGTAAAACACATTGGTTATAAACCTTTCGCTTGAGAAACATGGGAATTGAACTTTTTAGAATATGGCTTAATTTGCCAAATGCTGTCCATGTTAGACCTATTCGCCTCTGTATTTCATGTGTTTGATTGTCTCTGCTTATTTTGATTTATTGTCAATAGTTATATTTCCACTCATTACGAGATTTGTTATAATTTTAGTTTTCTCAAAGTTTATCTTTAATCCTGCTCTTTCAGACAGACTTTTAAGCGAATGCATCATAGAAACTGTATCTTGTAAGTTATCTGCGATTAATACAACATTATCTGCAAACCTTAGGTGACTTAATCTTTCTCCATCTATATTGATGCCCATATCTTGCCATTGAGTGCCCTTAAATATTGGCTCTAGAGCTGCCGTGAACAATTTTGGTGAAATATTGTCTCCTTATCTAACTCCTCGACCTAAGCTGAATTTTTCTGTGTCTTCGTGCAGTCGTATACTTGATATAGCGTTCTGATAGATGTTTTTGATTAGTATCGTGTACCTGTAATCTATTCGGCTTTGATTTAGGGCTTCCAGTATTGTTTCTGGATCTACAGAATCAAAATCTTTCTCGTAATCGACAAATGCAAGAACCAGTGGTATGTTGTACTCGATGCACTTTTCTATTAAGATCTTTATGGTATGCAAATGGTCATTTGTGCCATATCCTGCCCTGAAGCCTGCCTGTTCTTTGGGCTGATAGAAATCAAGTTTAGGTGTTAGCCTCTTTGTTAAGATTTTCATAAAGAGTTTGTACATATGTGTCAAGAGGCTGATGGGTCTATAATTTTCTAATTTAGTAATATCGCCTTTTTTGTGTAACAAGACTATTACTGCATTGTTCCAGTCTTTTGGAGTCGTACCCGCATGTAAGCATTTAGTAAACAGTTCGCTTACTGATTTTAATAAAATTTCTCCACCTGCTTTTATTGCCTCGATAACGAGTCCATCATCACCAGGCGATCGATGGTTCTTCATTTCCTTTAAAGCTGCTCTTACTTCTGACACAGTAATGGGTAAAAGTATTTCCGATCCCTGATTTATGAGAGTCTTTACTCGTGTCGGGAAATTGTCTTGTGGTCTTTGGCTGGTATAGAGGTCTTTATAAAATTCTCTAGTTACTTTCAGAATATTTTGTTTATCTGTTGTTGCCTTTCCGTCTTTATCTCTCAGCTTGTATATTTCTTTTTTACTTTGCGTAAGTTTTCTTTTCATTATCTTTAAACCTTTGTTCTCTTCTACTGTTTGAGTAATTACATTAGTATTATATCTTCTTACATCTTTTCTAATTTCCGCTGAAATTCTTTTATTTAGTTTTTTATATTCTTCTTTGTTTCCCTTTTCGTTCTCGCTTAGGTTTCGTCGTATTTCCATAAGAGCGCTTGTATCTTTGCTAATCTTTTCACTTTTGGTGTCATTTTCTGGACAGTCTGTGAGTTTATTATTGGAGTCTGTTATTAATTTATTGTGATCGTCGATACTTAGAGGTTTAGAATTATTACTCTGTAAAGTTTCGGCTATATTTCTTATGTATGCTTCTGGATGATTTGGTGAATTCCAAACTATGCGTTTGCAACTGTTTATCATCTTTGCTCTTTCTTTTTGTAGATTAATCGTTACTCTAGCTGGTCTGTGGTCGCTTCCTACTGATAGTTTATTGAGTACAGTGACATCTTGAATAATTTGCTTTTTGTCTGTTATTATATAATCATATTCGCTCTTAGTTCTTCCGTCTGGACTAGCCCATGTCCATTTTCTATTCTGTTTCTTCTTAAAAAAGGTGTTCATTGCATACAGTTTGTGTTGCAGTAAAAGTTAGTAAGCATTTCGCCTCTTTCGTTTCTTACTCCGATTCCAAAATCTCCGAGTGCCACTTCTTGTTCGTCTTTTTTCCTTCCGAGTTTTCCGTTAAAATCTCCCGTTATCAGATTGTAATGAGCCGGTTCCTGCTTTTTTGCTCTTTCGATTTCCTCATAGAAGGCTTCGACAATTTCATCTTCGTAATCGCTGGTGGGGGCGTATACCTGGATTATTTTCAGATTGTATCTCTTATTTAGTCTTAGATTTATATACATAACTCTTGGGAAATTCAGTCAATGCTCTGTATATTTTTCTGTAATTTTTTGTGTACTAATAAACCTATTCCTCCAGTTGTCGATTCCGTTTCCCTTTTATAGTGGAATATATTTCCTGATTTTAGTTTGACCTAATCTTCACCTCTTCTTTTGACTTCGCTAATTCCTATAATATCCCATTTCACATGTTTGAGTTCTTCCTCCAGTTCTGTCATTTTTTCATCCTTAGATAAAATTCTTACATTATACGTAATTATGTGCAACGTTCGTCGTTCTTGGTAGCCTCTTACATCCCGGGGATTCTTTGCACCCTCTACCCGCTGTCCGTGAGTCCTACCGCTACCTTGGTCGGGAACTAGGGAGCTGCCGGGGACTGAGGGCCGTTTTCTTGAATGTCTGTTCATGCTGAGGGGGTTTTGGCATTTAAACACCACGCTTGCCAGGCGGGTTGGTGAGTTGGTTTGGGAAATTGGTAGGATAGTAGGTATTGGGTAGGAATGGGGTTAGGACATGATTTCTCTCCACAGGAGTTGAGAGAGAATCAAGGCTCGCGTAGGGCAGTATCGCATCCCTGAAGTAAGTCTATCCTCCACTGGGATTGTGAAAGAGTATCTACCCGCTACCCGCAATTAATTAATTTAAGGATCTTTTAATGATTTACTCATTATAAAAGATTTTTAAAAAACTTTTGAGAAAAGTTTATTAATCTTTAAAATTATATTTTATCCTCTTTTACTTTTTTAAAGGTATATTTATTTATTTTACATATAAATACTAAATGATTTTATTTATTTAAGGCCATCGTTAAATGCACTGTGATGTTCGTAAACCACGATAAAATATCAAGCTTACTAAATGATACTCTTCTTTTCTGGAAAATCGATACATACCCATTTAAAAAAGAACGAAAAGTAGCTCAGTTCATGGAAAAGGTCCTTAAATTCTTCTTATTTTGGTATCCAAGCCTTGCAACTACTACTACTCTGCTTGTATTTCTTAGTCCTTTGATAATGCATAAAAGGATCTTGCCTATGTCAACATTCGTTCCAGAATATCCTCCGTATTGGCTACTATACCTAACAGAGTGCTATGCTTTTGCAGTCATATATATTGGCGTAGTATATTTTGACGTACTGATTGGTACTTTGGTAATGATGGTAGTTATTCAATGGAAACTCTTAAACAGAAAAATTCATGATGTTCTCGAAAGACCTGTGACCAATCAAAAAGAAAAGAATTTGTTGCAAGCAGATATTAAGACCTGTATAGACTATCACAATTTTTTATTGAAGTAAGTACTAGTTTTACATGTATTTCTAGTTTACCTTTTTTTTTTCTTACAATCGATGTAAATGCAGGTGGAAACTACTCTAGAAAAATGTTTCAAGATGTCCTTTTAGTAGGAAATTCAATTACAAAAAATGGATAAACAATGGATACAACGAACAAACAACGAATTAGTATTTCTACCACCAGAAAAAAATCCCAGTACCTTCTGCTCGATTACATAAAAGCCAAACATAGCCAAATACATAAAAAAGAAAGGAACAACACCAACTTTCCGCACAAATAACAACCTAGACAAATATATCAAAAACAACAAGAGCCAAAATAAAAAGCACTTATACAGTGGTGTAAACAAATTTAAATGTGACGCCCAAAAACTTACATCGCTTAAACTGGTAGACATTTCAATAAACGAATAGCAGAACATAAAAGGGCTTTCAATAATAGAAAAATATATTCTACATACGCACTTCATACTTTCTAGATCATAATCATTCTTTTAATGACGAATTTCAAATTCTTCCCATTCAAAATAAAGGCCTTAAGCTATCTTTGTTAGAATCTGTGGAAATTAACAAATTAAAAAACACAGATATAATTCTGAATGACTAACTTGAGACAAACAGTTCTCCAAGACTACAAAGTGTAAACATGCCAAAAATAGATCATTTGAGAAAAGCATCAGCCGAAACAGGTGTAGTGATATAGTGCGAATAGCACGAGATAAGTCAGCAAATGGACAAAGTAATTTAAACAATTTAGGAGGCTAATGTTGAAGAAGAAATAGGCTTTAAAGGCTACAGACAAGAAGGAAGACTGAAGATTTATTAGAGCTTATGAATACTCAGTTAGGAAATCCACCAATCCTTTGGAAAATAAAAATAGGGATATCATCTATTTGTTAAGTTTATTATTACAGTAGACTCGCGATTATCCGAGTCCCGATGAACCGAGCCTCTGGATTAACCGAGGTAGTAATTCAAAAGAACAAATTATGTAATAAATTAGCTTAAAGGCCCGTTTTCACGCTACGTCTTATTGTACGTTTTGTTGGATAGGACAAATCCTATACAATAAAACGTTGCATGTAAACAGCAAAACGTACGTCTTGTTGGAAGCAAACACATAGTGTGTATACACTGGACAAAACGTACGTTTTGTCGTACGTTTTATATGACCAACAAAACGTACAATAAGACGTAGCGTGAAAACGGGCCTTAAGAGTGATATCAAGTAAAAGCGTTGCACTGCAACCGTTCTAGCCAATATGCTTCTACTGGCCGCCTTATAAGCCACTGCTCCACCCGTCAGTTTCAGTCATAACTCTTTGTGTAGTTTCTACGTAACTTGAAGTGCAATGAAGTGCTAAGGCTGTCGAATTTCACAAACGGTTTAAGAATGGCGAGGAAAATTTTTACTGCAAGTGATGGTTGGCTCGACAGATGAAAGAAAAGGTGCGGCATTCGATCACTAAACATTTCGGGTGAAGCCGATTCATCTCAAAGTAAAAAAACTGCGCGTGGATACAAAAAAAGCAAAAAACGAGTAACTCTGTTGATGTGTAGCAACTCTTCTGGATTTTTAAAATTAAGACCATTGGAAAATCGAAGTATCCAAGGGCTTTTAAAAATATTTGTATACCATGTACAATAATTAATGTAGTGCGTGGATGGATTGCCACATTTTTAAAGTTTGATTTTTTGACGAACATACTAAAAAACCTAACAAGAAAACGACAAAGAGCCATCTCATCCATATGTAAGTTCGTTGGCTAGCGGTGACACTAAAGACACTAAAGCTGTTTTCTTGTCACCGAACGTCGCATCTCTTATTCAACCGGAATTAGATGAACATGGATCAAGGAATTTTAGAAGCTATGAAAGATCACCGTTAAGGATGTCTTACTGGATAGCTTCAACGTAAAATAATGTGAGGGTAACAACTTTGCAAAATTTTTCATGTGAAAGCTTTTTTAAATTGAAGCGAAAAGTTATGGAAAAGATAACAATGAGTGTATTGCTGAAATAGTAGACCTCGCTAATCAGTTACTAACGAAACTTCCGATAAGCGATGAAGACGTCAACGAGTAGATTATGCAAGATTAGCAAATGGAGCTGACTGATGATGCATTGGCCGACATGATTATCAACCCACACAATTTCACTGCGGACGACATAGATGAGGTAATCGAGAAAGTATCTCACTCCGTAAGATTGAAGGCGATTGAAGCTGCCCTTGCCTACATTCAGCAACTTTTTTAGCGACTTTTTTAAAACTTGAAGATGATCCAGTACGTAATTGTTTTTCCTATCTATATATTTTAACTATATACTCGCATATAGGTTAACATACTTCAATTGTACATAATAAACGAATTACATACGTCATAACTTTTAAATTTTTTGTTTATTTTATTCAACCACCCGATTTCCGGGTTATCCGAGTTTTTTGGTATCAGAGGTATGCGCGGTCACAATTAGCTCGGATAATCGCGAGTCTACTGTATTTTCCTTAATTTGTTAATATCATCAGCTATTGTATTGTAAAAGCCGCAAAATATAGAACATCTATATATGAAAAAGATCAATTAAATGCTTCTCATGAATTACATATTTTTTCTAGTTTTGTTGCCAGAATTAACGGGACTCTCTATATCACATTTTTATTTTTTATCGTTGTGACGGTATTATCGGCTTGTGCAGATACCTTCATTATACTAAGGGGGTAAGTTTTTAAAAATCATAATATAACGTTTAAGATAAGAATGTACATTTATTTTGTTTCGAATAATTAAAATATTCTTATATCCTTCCTTGTCGAGTGTCTAACTTCTCCATTCCCTTACTATACAATCTCTCTTAAATCGTTCTGCACATAATCAGAAGAAGTATCCGACATTGGCGATCACCATTGCGACGGCTTCTCGATCTTCTGCAATAGACGTCCATTCACGAATGTTTTTTAACGAAGAAACTTGTTTTCTTCCTACACCTCTAAGGCCCTCTATTTTTCCTTTAAGGATCAGTTGTAAAATTTTATATCGACTTCTCCTTACTATATGTCCCAGATAAGACATTTTTCGATGTTTAACAGTCTTTAGCAGTTCTCTGTCTTTGTTGACACTCCTTAGTACTTCTTCATTAGTTTTTCTTGCTGTCCAAGGTATCTTCGACATTCATCTATGAACCCACATTTCCAATGCTTCAATTTTGTTCATGATCCATACTTTTAGCGTCCACACTTCTGCACTATACAAAAGTACAGAACAAACATAACACTTAACCATTCTTTGCCTTAGTTCTAAACTGAGATGGTTATTGCAAAGAAATGACTTCATTTTCATAAAAGTAGTTTTAGTCATTGCTATTCTACGTTTTATTTCTATGTCTGGATCTGGTTGGTCCGTTATTACAGTTCCCAAATATGTCATTTTGTGAACTTTCTCAACTTGGACTCCGTTCAATTGAAGCTTTGCATCGGGATGTGGGTCCCGACTAAACACTAAAAATTTGGTTTTGTTTGAGTTTATTTTAATGCCCATTTTTTATTAATGCTAAATTTGACTCAAAAAATGGCGTTCTTGAAGAAAAGTAGAATCCTTTGGATTAGGTTATTATAGAAAAACATTACAACGTGCGTTCGACGATAATTACCGAATTTATAAAAAAGAACTAGACGCGAAACCGGAAAGAGATTAGCCAAGGATTAAAAACCTTTCGTAATTTGAGAAGTTGGTACATTCAATAACATTTTGAAGATGGTAAACCGACCATGAGCGTATCAGCAACAAGGGTAAAGGGAATAAAAATAATTAATATTTTAACTATATAAAAAAAATGTTATAAGTTCTTAGGAAATAGAGTAATATTCAAATCATGAATGTGTTGCTTGTGTGAGTCCATTTCAAATAGGTAAAGAAATAATAAATAAGACTTACTCACAATCAATTTAATTTAACTATCAGACGACCGGTTTCGCTTTCTACAATATGCAAAGCATCCTCAGGTCTCGATACAAAGTTAAACAAATGCTGAAATAATAAAAACCCATATTAGGGTATTGTCTAATAACGATAAACAAAGTAGATGTTGTAAATTACAATAATTATGCCAATATTACATGTCTGTGGTTTTATTTAAATGAGTAAGTTGAATAAAAAGTATAAAAGTTTTAAAAGTTTAAACAGACAAGGTAAGGCCCACAAATTGTTATAAAATAGTCTCTTCGATTGTAATAAATTAATAAATGAGCAAATAAATAAATAACATAAACATTACCTACATGCCGGTACTCTATTAATTGATGGATGGTATAACATGGTTGAAACTACTATGAATTGTTGAATGGAGAACTCAATTCTATTATTGCAGTTGTTTGACAGTAAACGGGAAGTTTTTGAGGAGATAGATTTGATCCAATGAAGAAGAGATATGTGTGTGATTGTTTGTTAAATGAAAGTGATGTAATATACCATTGTGTTATTAAAAGCTATTTATACTTATTCGATAGATATATTTTTGAAATGTGTGTTATTTATTGAGTAATTGTTTTATGAAGGTGACAGTTTTATGACAATGAATAAGTTTAGATGTAAAAATTGTGTGGGTGTGCAATTATTTTCCAACTTGTAGTTATCAAATTACTTTGATAAAGTTCTATTGGCAATTAGTGAATTATTGGAAAGTCAAGTAAATAAAATATTAAAATACAAACAATTAAGGACAATTTAAACACACTAAAACAGAAAACACTTAAAAGGGACGAAACAAACATTGAATTTAAAAAGGGGAAGGGCTTTAATGCACTACATCGCAGTCTTGGGCACAATGAGTTTTTTTTATGGTTTATCTATTAGATTTTAGTGGTAAATTTGACAGATGTAGGTTAGCATGTGACAGTTCTTCTTCTGTTTCTCAATACTGTAAGTTAAGTTATCTAGTTTTATGAAATATGCTGTTATTAATAAGTAAAGTAAATTGATGTGTTTAATATTGGCATACTTTAACAATCTTTAATTAATCAAATTTAATGTAACAATATGGATAATTTAAATACATCCTACAATATAACTAACTCAGTCTAATGTCCAAATTACTGAACAAATTAAAGTAATTCTTTGGCAACTGAACATGTACATTTTATAATCAAATGTATAATAAGTTTACAAAGTTTTTTATTTTTATTTGAAATTGTTGTAGGTATGAGTTATCTGTCAGGGTATTTTTTAAAATATTTATTTCAAATTCTGATATATTAATATCTAATATACTAATATGTAACCAAAGTAACAAATGGATAATTATTGATGGTAATTAATTTATGGACTCAAGAAATTGACTGAATTATAAAGCCTTCAATAATTAGTTGGTAGTTCTAATATCTGACAGTTGGAACCGGAAATTGTTATACGAACCAGCTAGAATGATCCTCTATTTATACCGGTATAAAGTAAATTTATTCGTATTTCAATTTTCGGTGTCATATGAACAGATATTCCTCACACCTACATGGACAATGGTGAGTTTGTACAATTGTTTTAAGTAACACTTTAAAAAATTTTCAATTAATAGCTGTTTGTGAAAATTAATATTTCTATTTGAAATGTAAATTTGTGTATAATTGTAATTAGTAAAGATGTATTCAATTAATACAGCTAGTCTGAACGATTAACGTGTTATTTAGATGATAATCAAACCACGTGTTGAGTTTGAAATCAAATTTTTTTGTAAGATGAGTATATTTCGGAACCAGATGGAATGTAATAATAATTGTGGGTTAAATAAGTTGAGGTACCATACCAGTTCAATACTGATATTTAATGTAGTTTTAGGAAAAAATTGTTTCTGGTAGTATGTTAAAGAAATTATTTCTTTAACATACCTTTTAAATTCAATGTTTGTTTCATCCCTTCTAAGTGTTTTTTGTTTTAGTGTGTTTAAATTGTCCTTAATTGTTTGTATTTTAATATTTTATTTACTTGACTTTCCAATAATTCACTAATTGCCAATAGAACTTTATCAAAGGAATTTGATAAAGTATATAATTTGATAACTACAAGTTGGAAAATAATTGTACACCCACACAATTTTTACATCTAAACTTATTCATTGTCATAAAACTGTCACCTTCATAAAACAATTACTCAATAAATAACACACATTTCAAAAATATATCTCTCGAATAAGTATAAATAGCTTTTAATAACATAATGGTATATTACATCACTTTCATTTAACAAACAATCACACATATATCTCTTCTTCATTTGATCAAATCTATCTCCTCAAGAACTTCCCGTTTACTGTCAAACAACTGCAATAATAGAATTGAGTTCTCCATTCAACAATTCATAGTAGTTTCAACCATGTTATACCATCCATCAATTAATAGAGTACCGGCATGTAGGTAATGTTTATATTATTTATTTATTTGCTCATTTATTAATTTATTACAATCGAAGAGACTATTTTATAACAATTTGTGGGCCTTACCTTGTCTGTTTAAACTTTTAAAACTTTTATACTTTATATTAAACTTACTCATTTAAATAAAACCACAGACATGTAATATTGGCATAATTATTGTAATTTACAACACCTACTTTATCGTTATTAGACAACACCCTAATATGGGTTTTTATTATTTCAGCATTTGTTTAACTTTGTATCGAGACCTGAGGATGCTTTGCATATTGTAGAAAGCGAAACCGGTCGTCTGATAGTTAAATTAAATTGATTGTGAGTAAGTCTTATTTATTATTTCTTTACCTATTAGAAAAACATTCCTAGCATTTTAAATTGTTTTCTCATAATTTAATAATAATATTATAATCTCTTATTATAATTTTAGTCAAGGGGCAACAAATTTATCAATACGCATAATATTAATGCTGGGATATAATGATGAGTTTATTTTGTTTTACGTTTTACCCGGACAACTTCTTACATCTGAGGTAACACACACAACAATCTTAAAAGTGCATATTATTGTGTATACTATTTGTGTTTTAGGCTGAAAATACCGAAAAAGCTGTTTTTTCTTGCAATTGGTATGAAAATACTACCGGCTTGAAGAAAACTGTTATTACTATGATATCTTGCATAAGTCGCAAACCAGTTTATATAACTGCAGCAAATTTTCTTAATTTTAGTTTTGAAAGTGGTCTTAAGGTAGGTTGATATTTTTTCTCAAAATCAATGTCACGATCTTTCTTAAAATTTGCATAACATCCTATGTTGTGAATTGTCTGTTTTCTATACTGTATCGCACCCAGGGGGATTTTGGTGTTTAAAACCCCCCAGGGCATATAAAATAAAAAATATATAATGAATAGTAGGAAAATTTAACTTGTCTTTCACAAATATTACAAAAAATCCAAAACGCTAATTAAATAATTTGATATAAGGTTGAATGCTCAAATAAATGAATTTTGATCAAGAAAAAGGCAAATATCGAGCACAGTATTAATTTAATCTGGCCCCAGTACTTTCGATCACTAGATCATCTTTAGGGGCATCTGAAATAAGCCAAGAAACGTTTTTTATAACTAAAGAAATTAATTAACTTCGATAAAAACTCGAAGTTTATGGTTGATAAAAGTTTTTATATGATTAGCGTTTATAGAATTACTTAGTCAATTGCAGCCTATCCGACAAGAGTAGAATGTTATAAATATAAAATTGGACATAATGCCGGGTCCAGACCAAGCAGACAAAACGAAAACACAATTCTGAAACAAAAATACGATAAACCAAACAAAATTGTGACAAACTGTCCACACCAGAACAACAAAATATAAAAACAAATTCAGTTGGTGACGTTGTTGTTGTGATTAGTGTTGGTTTTTAATTGTAATTGTAATCATGTGGCGTTTTAGTCAAGAAAAAAATGAAACTGAAGATTTATTGCTAGCCGCAAGTTTTTTTTTGCTCTGATCATTATCCCAGATTGCTAAAAGAAAACCCAAACTCAAATTGTTAGTTCAGCTGCGAGCAGATGATATTGGACTAAGTGGTGAAATTCGATCAAGCTTCAAAAAATTTTTAAGAATGTCCACCGTAGATTTTGAGAATCTAATATGCCTTGTTGGTCCTGCAGTTGCAAAAAGACATACTAACTTTAGAAATGCTATGAGTGTAACAGAAAGGTTAGCAATTACTTTAAGATTTTTAGCAACAGGTGATTCCTACCACAGCCTAATGTATATTTCAAAAGTATCAAAGCAATCAATATCTGTAATAATACCTGAAGTATGTAAAGCTTTAATTAACAGTCTTAGTGGTTATGTACAGGTATGTTAAACTTTTTATATTACTATTTTTCTGTTAATATCCCTTAAAATAAACTCCATATTTATTGGTTAAATGTTTAATACAAAAGAAGTTGACGATGGGTACAAACTACATACAAAATAATGACGAGTCTACTTGTTATTACATTCAAAAAGTTCATCATCAATTTCGTTCGTTTTCTTGATCTGAATACTGAGAAAGCTCTGTGTGAATACTAGGTGGATGTGAAAATAAAGGTTGTGTTTTGGTGTTTGGTGGATTCAAGTAATAATTTTGTGGGTCAGCACAGGGTGGATTTGAGTATGAATATTGCGTGTTAGGTGGATATGAGTATAAATGTTCAATGCTGAGTGGATTTGAGTATAAATGTGTGTCAATGCTGGGAGGAGTTGAGTATGAACGTGTGTCAATGCTGGGAGGATTTGAGTATGAATGTTGTGTGTCAGTGCTGGGTGGAATTGAGTACAAATGTTGTGGGTTGGAGTTGGATGGAGTTGAGTGAACATTTGAACATAATTTTGATAAAAATTGTACATTCTATTTCTCCTACTGCTTAACTCGTTTTGGCACGCACACGCGTCCACACTGCGCCGACAACTTGTCGTCAAACACACAGACAAAACACAGACTTTTTGATCTTTACCGACCTGAGACGGGACCTGAAAAAGTTTTCAAATTTGCAAACAAAACAAAATTGTTCAGAAATGTCTCAACAAATGTTTTCGATTTGTCGCTACTTTGTCGCGAAACATGAATGTTTTTGTTTTGTCTGTTTGGTCTGGAGCCGGCATAACAATACACTACACAAAGACAAACAAACACTTTAAAAATTTTTGAAGATAGGCGAGGCTACATGGTATATAGAAGCCGGAGACAGAATGGCTCACAGTCTAGCGGAAATGTTGAGATGACATGTGACCAAAGTATTGACCAAAGGTCCAACTGACACTACTATAGGAAATCAACTGATGAAATATAAAATTATATAGAATATTTTTTAAGCAGATTGAATAATCCAGATCTCACACTCAAACCTGTCTATAATAATTAGGGTGTTAGTTTGAGAGCAACTGAAGTCGACATAAAGTATGAATGCAAGAAATAGACTAAACAATATATTAGACAGTGGGTGGTTGACTACAATAAAATGGTCTACCAAGCACTATAAGTACTGTCAAGTGTGTACCAACGCAATTCTACCCGAATTTGCGTATAAAATACACGGTTCGTATATTACAAAATTAAACTTCAAAATTATTGAAAATCTATATTTGCCAGTTCCCAACAAAACATATCGCGTGCTTTTAAAAATGATGTAACAAAATTATCACTTATAAGCATCAATCTATACATACACAAAATTAAAAAATCTTACAGTGGCTTCCCACGGTCGGCGATTCTACAGATCATCGCAGACAGCCGATCAGCACGGACGAGAACGCACCGCAGACAGAGCTCTTCCCACGGTTCGTGGCAGTCTGTGTAGATCCGTGACAGTAGTATTTGATTTAACGCAGTGATGCCACTCCTCACGATTTATCGTGAGATCTCACGAATTGAAGACAAATCTCACGATCTCACGATTGACGTCTTATATCTTACGATTTCTAAAATTTTTAGGCTGTTACTAAATCTAAAGATAAATAATGGGTACCAATAAAATTTATACGATAAAATCAGCATTTTTAAAGTGCTCTTAGATTGTCACCTTGAAATATTCATAAATCAACTATATTTTTATACAAAAATGCTTGCACTACTCCAATTAGTATACACAAAATAATATAAACAAAGCTTAAAAGGTTCTTTATTGCTTTGAGAGTTTAAATATCGGTCCATAAACAACTGAAGTTTATGTATATTTTATCAATAAATATTAAGAATAGCCGGAATTTTGTATTAAAGGATCAACAGACCTAAATGATTTAAGTGTGTGTTCGAGATATGAAACAAATCAGCAATTGCATATAACAATAACTTTATATTCCATCTTCAATAACTTTGAAATCCTACAAGTACCGATAAAATGTTAAATCTTCAGAAAACAAAATGTTTATGTATACCTAATATATACCTATTATACTTAATATTCTTGGGTAAAATAGGTTTATAATTTTCATTGAAGTTTAAACTATAAAGAATGTTTATAATCATTGCCTAATATTGAATCGATAAATCCATAGCTTGCAGTATATAGATATAGGTAGGTAGGTAATTTCCTAAAATTATATCTGATATATATATATATATATATATATATATATATATATATATATATATATATATATTATATATATATATTCCATAAACAGACAACTACTCGTAAGAGCGAATAAAAAACTACTGACTTGCATTTGTCGTCTGTTAAAACACAGACGCGCTAGGATCGCGTCGCACGAGCATGTACCGCACCTTTGATGTTACCGACTCTAGATGGATAGGACGGACCAGCACAGACGTGTCTGCGCTACCACGGACGAGACCCTTCCCACGGTGAGTGGTGCGTGCTGGTCCGCTTACGTCCGTAATATCGCCGACCGTGGGAAGCCAGTGTTACGCCACGGAAACGACCGTTCAGCGCTCAGAGTCTTAGTCAACTGTAAGAACCTCATCAATTTTTATTACACCACTTACGCGTTAAAATAAACAAAATAAATTGAAGTGATGGCGATAAAATATAAAAATTATTGCCGACAAGTGGAAAGATTGTAAGGTGCGTATACATATGCGCGCCGCGAAACTCGCGCCTTGTGTGCGCCGCGCGTTCGTGGCGCGTTCAATGTTCGTTGAAATTTTTCATTTTGACGAACCTTCCGCGATCCAAAGAAAACTGACGAACATTTAGTAATTGTAGATAATCATGTCTCTGTCAAGCGATAAAACTTACGCTATTTCTGTGATGAGTGGTGCTTTCTTGGTAATGGTCAGTTTGTTTCACGCCGGTAAGAAGACAACAAGGAAATCACCATTTTTTTTACATTGGTTTGCATGTATATTTATTTCAGCTTCTATTTCCCTTCAGGCATCGGCTTTAAGTGGTTTTTTAAAATGGTCCTTATGTTGAGGATCCCACAATAGGGATTTCCCACGGTAAGCATCAATAAGTTTGATAATATTTTCTTCTGACCACTCCATTACTACCAAATATTTTAAGATAATATACTATTATAATACTCAGACGCGCCAAAAATCATCACACCTTTCACTAACCCGTCCAAATATGTAATGCGAACCACCAAAGTGTTCGTTGAAAAACCGACAGAAGGTGGATCGTAGTGCGCCGTATGTGCGCCGTTTGTGCGCCTCTTGCAAACACGTACTAACCTAACGAACATGCTACAAACGAACAGCGCGCGCGTTGAGCGGCGCGCATATGTATACGTACCTTTATGATTTAAAAAGGTTTTATAGCTAAATCTTTCTTTGAATTTTAATAAGAGATTTTGTAACTCCAGCATTCAAAGCGGTATACAAACAAAATAATTATCAAATGGCTGTGACAAGTACTGTAGAAAAGAAGAATACTATATATGCAATTAAATTACTAAAATTAAAATCAAAATTAAAAACAAAATATATATAAATGGGTTATAATCCAAGTAGTTCAGTTGAATCCACAGTCAATGGAAAACTATAAAATTAATATGGAAATAGTGCAGAAAGTTCAAACCGTCGAGCTGGGTCCTCTACGAGGTTAAGCTGTAATAAAGTTTTTAAAAATAGGTTAAATTTAGTACAATTTAAATTAATTTGAGTATTAAAACAGTGAGTTTTTATTTGTTTCCCTTGTAATCTCCAAATCTTTCAATAAATCCAACTCCAGATAGTTTTTTCTGTCTACTAATGTCATGTAAGATAGATGAACCAGAATTGATGTT